TCTTGTTAAAAACCGCAAGTCCAATTGATTTGATACTACATATATAGGTACTACATGTGGACCTCTCTCAAGATTTGTTCATTTTGTGATGATATCTTCAATTCTCTAATTTTGGTGAATATTTTTGTCATTTTTGGTAAAAAGTGATATTTTCGACTTCTTGTTAAAAACCGCAAGTCCAATTGATTTGATACTACATATATAGGTACTACATGTGGACCTCTCTCAAGATTTGTTCATTTTGTGATGATATCTTCAATTCTCAGATTTGTTCATTTTGTAATGATATCTTTAATTTTCTAATTTTGGTGAATATTTTTGTCATTTTTGGTAAAAAGTGATATTTTCAACTTCTTTTTAAAAACCGCAAGTCCAATTGCTTTGATATTACATATATAGGTACTACATGTGGACCACTCTCAAATTTGTTCATTTCATGATGATATCTTTAATTTTCTAATTTTGGTGAATATTTTTGTCATTTTTGGTAAAAAGTGATATTTTCTTCTTGTTAAAAACCACAATCATTTATGGTGAAAAATGATATTTTTGAATTCTTGTTTAAAACAGCAAGTCCCATTGCATTGATACTATGCATATTGTTCATTTTCTAATATATCTTCTCTTCTTTAATTGAAATGTGCATTGCTAACAGCGGAACTATCTCAGCCGAGAGGCTGCTTGTTTTGTACATGTATTACTTTTTTTCTTCCTAATTTGATAAATGATTAACCACTGTGATAGAGATGGGCCAAGCAGTATACAACATCGCTCCCTATCCCATCCCCAAAACCTCTGTTACTTGTACTTTATTCCTAAAGCTAAAAACCTCCATGTTTGTATTTACACGATAACAATAAAACTAATATGCTAATTAAGAAATTACAATGTATTAATAAGATAATAAATCATAGTTCAAATTATCAGTTATACTGCAAGTTAGAAAGCACACTCTCCTTGCCTTCAGAATTCTGCATTCATCCCTACAAAAAATCACTGTATGAATACCCCACCTGCAAGTCAGTGTGTATCTATTTTTTTATAAGACATTTATAGGTCAATATTTTCTTATTTTTCAATATTATTCCAAAGTTTTGCTTTGCTTAATCCAAATGTTTCGAGCTGCTTAGTATCATGAAAGAAGAGTGAATTTATTACCTTGAAAAGGTGGATTTTTTTTAAAACATGGTCTCAAGTTTTGTATTTAAAAAGTTTGATATTTACATTTTAGATTCTGTATTTATCCACATTTTTAGGTTATTGCCACACATGTACAATTAAACTATGCACTTGATGGTACTTTTGATATGTAAGACCAAACACAAATAAAGATACTACTAATTCTCAGTATAAGGTTTGAATTGGTACACAAGTTTTGTTACTACGGTTATTCCAATGCGTGGCACCAGAAGGTGAAGCAGTAGCAATTTTATTAACTGACTGTCGATGCAACCATTGTGGCGGATATTGCTGCCCATGTGGGTACCGTTCATTTGAATTGCTGTGAAATTGTTCCATAATTGGATTTCTGACATTCGCACTATTTCCATTTCTCAACTTTTTCCATGACTTGATTGCCATCAACAAGAATAAACGTCTTAGTAATACTCCAAGTAATTCCCCATTAAGCGAATATACAATTTAGCCTTATGCAGGTCGCTCCAATCTTAAAAGTACTTTTCATCAGTACATATATAGCTGAAATAACCAAGTGAGATGTTTGAAGTGTGGTGTCTGAGCATATTGGCACAGTATGAAG